TCCCCGGCAGGAGCGAACGGGCGCTTGCGCATGCGCGCGCGGTGACGGCAGGGGAGGAGCGGAGAGAGGTGTGCGGAGTGGGGGGTGGAGGTCAGACGTTACGTGCGTGAGGCGTCATTGCATCAGAGGGCGCGCGCGTAGTGGCGTCACAAGGCTTCCCCGTCCCGCGCGCGCGCAATTCAAAACCGTCCATTCCCTACCCCGTCCCCCATTCCTCGTGCGCCGTGGGGCGGGGGGATTGCGCTCGCTGCCTGCTACCTGCCCGCCCGGGCTTCCCTCAGTGCTAGAGGGCTGGGTAGGCTTGCGTGTGCACGTGTTGATATATACGTGTATACGTTGGTGTGTGTTTACGTGTGCGCGCGCGCGTGTGCACGTTTGTACAGATGTGCGTGTGTATTTGCACTTATGTGTGTACGTATATATGTACACGTGGGTACAGATGTGTGTATATAAATATGCATATCACACGTACATAGATATATCTATATATAGTATATGTGAATGTATGTATGTACATAGCACCAGTTGTCCTGAATTGAAGCTCATTTGGTCAGATGCCGTGAAGTGCTGGAAGGTAAGGGCGCTTTGCTCTTTCCCAAGCAGTACAGGTGGTCCTTGGACTTAAGACTTGGTTTTCAGGAACCAATGGTGTCATAAGTCAAAATGCAACTGGGAACTGATTTTCCCATAGGAACAATGTTATAGATGGGGGATTGGTTCCTGAACCAAGACCCGATACCCTATTTCCCCCCAAAATAACCCAGTATTTTGTACTCGATCAATTATAGACAAATATATCAAATGCAGTTACATTAATGTATTTATATTGTAAATAGCAATCATATTGATCTGGAAGGACTTCTTTGAGGTGATTTTCCTGGACTTTTTGAAGGGTTCTTGGCTGGAGTCTTCTCAGGAATCCTGACTGCAGGTTTTTCTGGAGTCTCATTTGCTTTCCTTAAAGAAAGTGTCCCGGAAAGTTTGCACAGATGTTCTCTTTTGCTTGTAAATTTCTCTGTAGCAGCTGTACGTATTGAATATGCCCCTATTCACTGATACACTGTGTTCATTGTTGGGGTCATGTTCCTCAAACAGGGACGCAGCAGCTTCCAAATACTGAAATGCCTCAGCCGACACTTGTGTTGTCAACATTTTATGAGGAGGACTCTCTTCAGCAGTGGGTGCTGTAACAGGCAACAGGTACATCTTCCTCTGCCACTTTTTGCTGTTCTAATTCAGTGAGGTCCTCATTAGTAAATTCTTCTGAATGTGATGCCAGCAGCTCATCAACATCCTCTGCTGCAATGTCTAAGTTGAGTTCTTTGCCCATTTCAACAACATTTTTGGTCACCTCTTTGACAGTGTTTGTTAAGCCTTGGAAGTCGGACAGAAACTCAGGACACAATTTTCAGGGGATATCCAAAGCTCTACTGATTTCAGTTGGTGTCTTACCTTTACCAGACCCCTTAATTATTTCCATTTTTGTTTCCATAGTAGTTCCTCTGTTTCTTAAAAACATCTCTTGCACCAGATTTATTCTTTTCTGTCATTATTCTGCAAAGAAACACTACATTTTGCAAAGAAACACTACATTTTAACACTATTCTACAAAGAAACATTAAATTTTAAGAACAAGTTTGGAAACACAAAGATTCATCATGTAAAAATGGTGTCAGAACAGCAACTGAGCATCTTGAGTCAGGGAGACGGGTGGTGTGACAGATCAGTGTGGTGTGGCATCACGTTGGATCAAGTGTCGTAAGGTCAAAACCGATGTCAGAGTCAAAATGGGGAGTCGAATTTATAAATGTCATAAGTGCCGTTCGTCATAATGCAAATGTTGTAAAGTCAAGGACTGCCTGTAATTCTCAGTTGGGTGCTTCCAAGGGTACCACGGGGTGCCATGCAACATGAGCGCTGATAGGTGTGTAAACATGATTCACCGGATAAACCCAGAGATTGCAAATAGGAATGCTCAATTTTATAGCCATTCTGGCCCTGCATGGGCTTTCTTGAAATCTTTGCAACATAAGGATTGCTCTAGTATTTTCTATACTAAAAAATGAGTGAAGGCTGAGAGCTGGTATTTTCCAAGGGGGAATGTGAGTCTAAAAATGGTTGAGAACCATTGTTTTAGACCAACTAAATCAGCTTTGTGTAGGGTAAGATCAAGTATAATGAGGGGACATCTGAACTGCCAGGCTCGTGGGCTTGAAACTTGCACATACTATGCCAGCCTGGTAGAAAATATGGCCCATACTGATAGTATTATTGTGCTTAGGTAATTTAGACTTGGAATTTAATTAGTTATTGGTTTTGGACTAAAACAGGAGTAAATATATATGTTAAAAACTCTAAAACAGAGATGTATTTCATAAGCCTTCATGAACCTGAGCTCACTTCATCAGAGCCAGCTCTCCCTCCCCTTCTCTCTCCCTTCCCTTTCTGCTCTGGCAACTTCCAGAGCTGAGCTTCTGTTCAGGGTGAGCTACTGCAGCCTCCTGTGTAAGGTGTTATACCATTGCCAGTGCCCAGTATCCACAAATCGAGATCAGCTCAAAAAACCATGAGACTTTTAAGGCAAACAATAAATGTGGGACTCATACTGTATCATCAGTTCTTTGAACTTTAAGGATTTGCTCAGGCTGCTTCCCTCAATCCTGTTTAATGATTGCTGAGATTCTTGTGCAATAACATGAATCCAGGAGCTGGTACTTCTAAACCAAGCCAAATGTTGCAAGATTCACAGTAAAATCATGATTTCGTAACACTGATGTAATTTCTTTGATGTCCCAAATTAAAGATTGCTTGTTTACGCTGTCTTGGGAAGGGAAATGGGATTCTCTGCCGTGTCCTGTCTTTAAAGGATTGTTGCTTGCCCAACCCAGAATAGACTGTGTTTCAGCAGCTGGGAGTAATCCATGGATCCACAGGATGAGTAACATTGCAAAGCACTTTGAAGCTTGTAAAAGATACTATGTAAATAATACATCTTAAATGCTAGCTCTGCAAATAGTACAATAAATAATGTTTATAGGATAATAATAGTGTTCTAAACAGAGTGAAGCTGTCTGACTGGTTGCTCATTTATGTGACAGTTCCTAGCAGGAAGTTTAAAAAGTCTTGTTAAAAAAGTTGTTATATGGCAAAGAGAAGGATTGGAAACTAAAATCCTTAGAAGCTGCATACAGACTATTTAAGTATGTGATGCCAGTCACCAAGGGGCAATATTTCAGAATCACTACAGAGCAGATTTTAGGTGCTTCTCACCTCTCCCCCATGTTTTCAAAATGGATCTCATTGTGGCATTGAGCTCTTTTGAAAATTCTAACCAAAGGGTATTCATGTTGCAAAGCTCTATTGTGATCAAACAGCACGGTGCAATCATTTATTCAAAATCAAAAAGAAAAAAAAATCTTTCATAAAAGTGAAAATCCAAGCCAAATGATTCCCAAACCCAGGAAGGTAATGACACCAGGTCATATGTAAACTGGCTAGTGGAAGGGCTAAAAGAGAATTGCTAAAGACAAAAATTAAGATATCCTATAAATTGTAGATACTGTAGGACTGCTGAGGAGAATCACTGGCAATAGAAGACAAGCAAGGAGTAAAAGAAAGCGCTCAAAGAAAATAAGGGATTTGCTGAGAAGTTGAACATCTTCACAGTTGTGCTACCCCAGAGCTACTCTGTGTGTGTTATAAAAATGAGATTATGTCACAGACTGAACTGTTGAAAAGGGTTCACTATTGAGGACCAGATTTTGAGACCTTCCCCTAGTCTCAGGGTAGCACCACTGATTTCAGTGAGAGGGTAAGGTTCTTTTCTCTCAACAAGAGTGTAGCTATTGGAATCTGACCCATATGCTGTCACCAGGACTGAACAGTTTTCACCCAAGAACTCTGAAGGAACTCAGTGAAGTGGCTGCATTGCTAAGACTTGTCTGTATTTCCTCATATTCAGATCTATTCTGTACAGGAGATCTTAAAATGAATCCCAAGCTATAGAGGAAAAGAAGTAAAGATATGATCAGTAGTGGCTTTATTCCATTTGATAGTTTTCTCTGCTTACTGATGCCTCTCCTCTTCTGCCAGCATCTTGCTTCTGTCCTGAATCATTGATATCCATACAGCTGAAGGATGGATGCTAGCTCCACCTCATGCTACCCCTTGGTCCACCATTGAGTGACATATAACATTCCTTTCCACCCAGCATGTTAATTTCCACTATTCTTAATCACGTACGGACTGTAATTTAAGGCCCAATAATCGAGCCACAGTATCCTGCACAGCTATGAATAGGATTAACTACTAACCTAATTAAAATCTTAAATGCCAAAAAATGAAAGATAGCTATCAATCTCCTTTTGAAAGTAATCACCTCCTTTATTTTAGGAAGGAAACACAATTTCTTATGCAAGGAAAGTGTTCAGTTGTTAATTTCCTTCTACCCATGGAAACCACAATTGCATTTTTCCAGAAGGTTTTATTTTAGTTAAAAGTGATATCTCACTGTTTAAAATATAAGTTAGCACAGAAAGAGAGAGCACCAATTTGCTGAGACCTGGAGAAGTTTGCAGCAGGAACTGGGGCACAGAGGAAGAAAAGACAGATTTCTAAGCATAATTAAAAAAAAATAGTGGATGAATATGAGT